TAATAGCGATGGCCTCCACCCTAGTAGCGATGGCCTCCAACCTAATAAGCGACGGCCTCCGAGCCAAAGAATCACCTGCAAAAACTTGGAGGTGTGGCTGAATGCAATCATGTTGGAGCGGTGCCAGAGGTGCAGAACCTTGTTCCACGTTCATTATGACTGACCTATGCGGTGTGGCCATCTGTGAATATGTATTTCGATGTGTTTATTCTGTGCCCATTTTCATGGTCTCATGATGTCTGTCCCGTCCCAGCTCAGCCGGTGGACTGCGCCGCAGGAAGTAACAACTGGTGCCATCGGCTGGACTGCATGGCAGGGCTCCGACGTTTGCCATGTGAGGCCTGGCGCGTGGATCTCCGACCCATTTGCATCCAAATGACAAAGCTGAGGTTAGCAAGTTGCGGCTTGAGAAACAGGGTTCCCGTCGCGCATGCACCTGCAAAGAGAATCTCAAGGCATTTGCCAAGATCATGGGGTCCTCTGGGCAGGCAGGAGCTCAGGCCTTGGGCCCTACACGGCAGATAGAACCATCCATGATTGATGATTTCTGCATGGATGGTGTGTTTCATGAAAAGCAGTGAAGTTAAGCGCACCCCAATGTGAAAGGCCTTGATGCTTCTGAGCCCTCCTGATGGAACTCCTTCGGCCACTTCACGGACTTGAAGACCTTTTGGCCTCAGCTGGGACCGCACTGGTCGTCCATGAAGCGGTATCGTCAGATTTTGCATGAGAAACACCTGTGAGTATTTTAGTCAACTACAAACATATCCCAATTTTAGCATGGCACGTTTCAGTATGTTCAGTTGAATGCCCGTTTATGATCAAGGAACCTCTGCAAACAAATTAATATCAGTATTACAGTAGTTGAGGTATGATCCCCCTGCTCAACTTCTTCGTCTATGGAGGCCTGAGTAGAAACTGAAACTCCGTGCTGAGTGCTCCCACCTTTGTGCATGAAGCCATCGAACTGCATGGTCGCCAGCAGGGGCAGCTGCGCATGGTCAAAGGGATCGGAGGAACCACAAACCCCGAATTGCCGGGATTGGAGCTCTGCGGCCCAGAGCATCTGCATGCCCAAGTCCTCAGCGCTCTGCGTGGCCCTAAAAAAGCTGAACAAGTCCAATTCAGCAGATCTCTTGCTGCTTGCTGAAATGGATGATGGTACAATGTGTGTCTCAAGTCGTTGGCTTCAGTGGCAAGGTTCAATCCGAGAGTTCGAATGATTGAAAAGTTGAAAAGTGCGGATGTGGATTCTGGCGCCAAGTTCAGCTTTTGTGCAAAACCTACGGCCTGTGGCTCTCAACTTCCAGTCACACCCAGTATATATTCAGAATTGAGCCCCTGTCGATCAATCGCACGCATTCCTCAGATCCACTTTGCACAGAAAGTGTCCAGAGCACACTTCTGATTGGAATTCGACACTCTGCAGACCCAAACAAGCAGCATGAGGCTTTTGACGCAGCACACCAACTAGGAGCTCTCAAGCGGAACAGGTTCCCAGGCATAGTACCGTGACCAACCAAGAGGGTAGGGTTGGCATGTTCGGTGCGCACTTTTCGTGCATCCCCGTCCGGCCTGGCATAT